GGATGGGTCCAAGGCTTTCAATCCTAGGTAGTATTAGGGAGACCCCTTAAAGGGGGACCCTTCTTAACTTAGGGTTTAGGGTTTAGGGTTTGGTTAGAGTTTAGGGTTTAGGGTTTAGGGTTTGGTTAGGGTTTAGGATGGTTTGGGGCCTTTTGGAGTTCTTTCAGGATTTGAGGCTTTAAGGTTCCTCTTGTGCCGCGCGCGAATATTTTTTATGTTATTGTATAGTATACGGCCGTGTTGTTGATTATGTTATAACATACCACATTCTAGTTTATTATATTATCTTCTCTCCTCTTCTCTCTTCTATGCTATTCTGAGATGTTGTATTGTGTTACGTCACTTTTGATTGTGCTATATTACGTGCTTGTACCGTCTGTTATATGCCGCACTCTGGCAACTGCGTTCTATTCTTGTACTATGTTGTACTATGACAACTATAACGCTCTTATCTTACCTGATATCATATCATATTACACTACTGGCCCCCCCTGCCTTTTTGTTGCTCGAGCATGACATCTGATGCTGCATTTCAAAGGAGTCGCAGGCATGACAGGTGTAGAAATCAGACGACTGGGCTAAAACCGAAGGGCGCAACGGCACCGCTGTGCCGTGTCGCCCGGAAATTCGGGCCTCTGAAGGCCGGGAGCTTAGGTAGGATTTGTGCTTAGGGTTTAAGGCTTATGGTTTAGGGTTTAAGGTTTTTTCCCCTAAATCCTAAACCCTAAACCCGAAACCCCTAAACCCTAAACCTTAAACCCTAAGGATTCAGGGTTTACAGTTTAGGGTTTAGCACTCAACGACTGGGAGCTGCATGAAGTCTAACTCCTTCCTTGCTCAAGTAGCTGGGATCATGTAGCGAAGGCTTAGGCGAATTAGAGCCCAAATCTTGAGCCCCCGGTCTGGTCACCCATCATCAGGCAAAGACATCACACAGAAGTTTAGCTCTCGTTTCAAAACAAGCCCAGCTTAATGGTTGGAGCAAGAAGTGGCGGCTCCCTCGCGGAACTCCGTTCACGCGAATCTGTGGCCCAAGCGGCGCAGAGGGATCGCTCCGCGCCCCATGGACAGAAGATTAAAACACAAGGCCAGATTCGCCAGCCTGGCCGAGAGTAGCCTCCGGGAGGACTATCAATTAAGAGCTCAAGGGATTTTACATTGAAGGTTATAGTTATACTTATGATAGAGTATATTATTTCGGACTAGCGGTTAGAGGGTGTTAAGGGCTTGGGGATTTTCAGGCTTTCGGAGTTGTCCAGGGTGCAGGGTTTGTATCATGACGACTGCCTCTAACCCCTTTCCCTCCGGAGCCTATGCAGCTACACAGACACAGCCGCCCTTTGACTTCAGACTTTGCGAAGTCAATATTCGAGGCGGTGCACGGACCGGTGTTCCGTCAGAAAGGAGGCGCAGGGCGGCGCGTGGGAGAGCTGGTGAAGCCCAGAAAATCCTACAAAGCTCTGGTCTAAGCCTGAAAACCTTTCTTTGGGAGCGGTATCACATACAGAGCCCTTTTGTCAAGCCCGGCTCATCGCGACTCGGGCGTCCTGCTTTCTCCCCACGCTGCCAGAGACGGACATCCACTAAAAATCGGATGCGGAGGGTCGGAGTCCTCAGCTTTCTAGACCCGAAACCGAAAACCGCCTAAGGGCTCGGGGGCTGGACCCTCGTGAGGGGATGGTTCAAAAGGGTTTAGGGTCGAGGGGCTGGGGTTTCAGCACTTTACTACTCCCTAAACCCTCAACCGCAAACCCCAAACCCGAAACCCCTAAACAGACACATTGCTGGCTTTAGGTGCATTAGGGTTTAGGGTTGGAGGATCGGGCTTCTGGGGCTCTTGGGCCGAGGGTATTGGGGGTGCTGAGGTTTGAGGCTTTAGGGCTTTAGGGCTTTCGAGTTTCGGGTTTCTTGGGGCTTAGGTTTCCTTGATCAAAGGGCTTTGGAGTCTCTGGGGAACCTCACTTCGCAGGCCGGAAAGCGCGAGGACGAGGACCAGATTCAAACACACAAAGAGACGGCCCGGAGATGTCCTCCCGAGCCACGACATGCGAAACCCACGGAAGCGGACAGGTTTGCTTGTTTGTTCGGGCTGCGGGTTTCAGATTTGATGTTTTGTGGTTTGCAGAAGATTCGGCAAGCTGCAATTCTACAGAGCAATACTGGTTAGAATTGGTCTTTTTCAAAGACCCCAAGGGATCATATTGTTTGATCAATTCAGGACGTTGAACGATGCAAGCGCCATAGGAACACTAATATTCCCTTGAGAGATGATTTTCATCAATACTCAACAAGTTCCCCAAAACACTGTAGATGATACCTGGGGATTCTCCCTAAACCCTAAACCCTAAACCTCACGTCCATGGATCACGCAGGACACGCAAGTCGCTAGCTGTCCTTTGCCCCACCCCTGGAACCTGCTCTGGAGCTATACTTGGAGGTTCATGGGTAGTTATAAGTAGGGCCAGAAGTCCCCCAATATGGGTTATAACTCTAGCTACCCGACTTTTCACCCCACTTATAACTACTCATGAACCTCCAAGTAGTCATGGCAGGTTTTCAGGTTGAGGTTTTAGGGCTTAGGGAGTAGGTTTTGCAGGTTGAGGGCTTTGGCGGCATGATAGCGGTGCCTGACAAGTAGAATAAAACTGGTATGAAGCAGTGGAAGTAAAAAGGGAGCATTGGGGAAATGTTCCCGGGATTTTCTCTCATGTCGATACAGGGAGCATAGAAGGGGGGATTATTTGACTGAACAAAACCCAACAGTCTGGCACCTAAAACCCTAAGTCCTAAAGCATTCTAACCCGCCAAAGAACCCTAAACCCTAAACCGCCAAAAAACAAGCCTAAACCCCCCAAATCGAAAAAAAAAAACTTTCGGCCATGGGCTCGGGATTTCAAGGCCTAAGCATTCGAGCCCGGGCGGTCCCAGGAGCCTTCGGCAGAGCTACGATGCATGTCCACTTGAAATTCGGGGGTTCTATAGGGCCCCAATAGGCAAGGCTGGGTTTAGGGTTTAGGGCTGACGGGCTATAGCAGAGCCACGGTTTAGGGCTTAGGGTTTAGGGGTTTGGGGGTTTAGGGGTTAGGGCTTCAGGCTGGTAGGGCCACTGTAGGGCCGCAGGGCTCGGGATCTTCGACGGATCATGGCCACTGGGGCCCGGCATCCACGGCGGAAAATGCCATTGAAGCATCTTCAGGGAGGCAGCACTAGGTCTCCGAGACTATCCCAAAGCCTACGGGCTCTAGGGCTTCAGCACTCACAAGGCTTGGGAACGAGCCTGGCTTTAGGGGCTTTGGGTTTGAGGGCCAAGATCTTGCTGAAGTAGATTCTTTTTGGGGTCTCTAGCTTTAGGATTTACGGGCCCCGATCTGGCTGATGTCGCAAATTATCGACTGGTCCAAGATGGTACACATGTTGGGTACGTGGCGATTGCGAGTACACCAAGAGACCGACTGTTTAGCTTCCGAATGCAAACTCCCCACACCTCCATCCATGCACTCATCCAAAGCGTCATGGATCGAGTTTGAAAACTCTTGAAATTCAACGTGGTCTCATTTCGCGGGGTTGCGCGGGTCGAGGACCCACAAGACTTGCGAGCTACGTATCAGATATACACCCTAAGCGCTTTTTTGCCAGCCTCCCAGGCGCAAGCCCCGGCCCTGCACCCTAAATGGGTAGTTAGGGCAGGCTTTACCTGTGGACCACGAGGCACGAACTCTACAGCTTCCTAAAGCAGAACACTGCAAAGCTCACAAAACAGTGAAACAACCAAGCAACCATTTCCCTTCGGCCCCATCACCTGGGTGTTCGTTAAGCACCTTATAGCTTTGCTTACTGCCTACTGTATCCAGCATATCTATCATATCATTAGTTAAAATTCATGTCACGATTGTTGGAATAATATAACATAATCCGTGGTGTTTGTAGCAACCTATACAATACAGTGTAAACTTCCTGAACCAGAGGAAAGACACTTGCTGAGGAGTTGGCAACCCATCGCCTTCGGCACCTTGGCCTTCTCTTTGCTACTGGGCATTGCCCACCTTAGTTCTTGAGTTCATAAGCAAAAAAAAGTGTACACTTTCAGTTTCAGTTCCATAATGGATCATATTATCCCAAAAAGTTTAAAGTGTAGTAGTTCAGCTCCTAAGCCACTCCGGATCTGGCGACCAATTATCCAGCAGCAGTGGACACGTCTTGGAGACCCTTGGCATCGTCTCTGTCGACTTCTTCCCGTCTTTCGACGCACGCTGCCTCTTTTCGCTGACCATCCGAACATCGGGACACACCTTCTTCGCCGAACTGTTCGAAGTCATTCGAGTCGGCTGTGAAGTCTGGCTCCCAGTGGAAAGCTGCTTGCCGAAGACATCGTCCCCCAACGCCTTCGAGGATGTGGAGTCTGGCGAGACCTGCCTGGAGAAGGATATACAAAATTCCAAGAATGATGATGATGACGACGACGATGGCTATGAGAAAAACAGCTTAAACATACTACGAACAACAATGACAATAAGACCTGCCTGGAGAAGCATATACCAATGCTAATAATAACGGTGATGCTGGCGACGATGGTTATGATAAAAATTTGCTAAACCATACTACTCTCTCTCTCTCTCTCTCTCGTGTGCTTACTACTACTAATAATGGCAGTAGTGAGAAGAAGTACCAATCTTCAAGAGCACAACCATCCTACATAACACTTACTTCCCTTTTGGTGACTAAAAAGGCGCGGCCCGGGCCTGGAGAAGGATGTCCTGTCAGAGCGGAGAGACAGGTTGGCACCGACCTCCGAGCTCCGAAGTAGCCAGGGAGGAACCAAGGGCTTTTTATGAAGAACCCCAAAATAGGATCGGTAATTATTGAGGCTCATTTGGTATAGAACCAGGCAAAAAGCTGATAAGTTCATGGATTGGGCTCCTTTCAGGAGGCAGGTCCCCCAACAAAAAAGCAGAAGAGAGGATCCTAAACCCTCAACCCCTAAACAACCCTAACCCGTAAACCCCCACAACCCTAATCCCTAAACCCCTACATCCTAATCCCTAAATCCCTAAACCCTAAACCCCTAAACCCTAAGCCCTAAACCCCAGAAAAGCATCAAAAAAAAGCGCAGTACTCCGGAGCCCCGACCTCCAGGCCCTCGCCGTCGTCCGTGTCTAGGTCCTCTAGGTCGCTGAAGCGCAGATCGTTGTGATTCCTGGGTTTTCAGGGCTTCGGGTCTTAGGGTTTAGGGGTTTTGGGGAGTTGTGGGTTTAGGTGTTTAGGGGTTAGGGGTTTCGGTGCACTTCAAGGGTTTCGCACTCACAGGGGTTTAGGGGTTTAGGACTTGAGTGCCATCAACCTTTCCTGGGTTCAGGGTTGGAGGCCCCTTGAAAAAGCAACAGCTTTTTCCTTCTGAAGGCTATAACGATACTAACACGCAAAAACTGATTGCCAAGACCGGCTTGGATTCAGCTTCTGACCCATTCGGAGTTTCTGCTGGCACTGTGTAGCGCAAAGCGATGGCTCCTTAGACTCTGCGCTGTGCTGCCCTGGCATGAAGTTCACCGTGGCACCGTCGTAGATGCCGCGGACATTGAAGAGGGGCTGCATGTCATCTTGGAGAAGCTGCCCCATGACATAAAGCTTCACCTGGAGAGCGCGGACCGTACTTGAGGTAGTTGCCTGGCTTAGAAATCCTTAATAAAAAGAACCCTAGTCCTAGATATGACAGTTATGATGGGGATCTGGTTTATCAAAGTCCCACCTCCCTCCGAGCCAGGACGACGGGAAAACGCCGATGTGCCACACGGCGCAGATCGCCAATCAACACCTCTCCAGCCACGTCGAACTGGACGGGGCGCTCCACCCCCGATCGCATCTCTCGAAGTTTCAGCGTCAGTGGCTGCTTGGGATCGATGGGGGCTCCGGAAGGCCACCCTCGACCATAAGCCACCGGTAGGTTGGCGAGGAGTTGTGGCGCCAGCTTCGCCACGAAGTCATCCATGCTCACTGCCTCTTCGTGCTCGTTTACGATATGTACTAGTACCAAGCACCCTTCTAATCCATGGAGCTCCTTAATTGATTAAGGGATCATTAAGGGATCTACCCAAAGAGGGCGCTTCTAAGCTCACTGCCTCGCACTCCCGGAGCCCGATCTCCGCAAAGAAGGCATTTGCCACCGCCAGCTTCGTCGAGGGGTCAGCAGACTTCGCCAGGGCCGTATGGAAGGCCGTCGTCACGGCCAAAAGCAGAGTAGCATGGTCTAAGAAGCCAGTGTTCCGGGTATCCCAGAACCTAGGTGCTCTTCGAGATGCGCTTCGAGACCCTTCACAACGACACAGAAGTTGTGGTCCTGCCTATACAGGGCTAAAGCAACAATAACACAACACTACTCTCACAAACGGCGTAGAAACTGGAACCACTGCTTCAGCTCTCCCTCGTCGGAGTTCCGACAGAGTGCGGGTGCGTTTCGCTTCGGGGCTTCACCGATAAGGCGACGGAGCTGACGTCGCATGGAAGGTAGCAAGTAGTCGACCACCTCCTTCTGCTTGATTTCCGTGTTGTCGGGATGGTCCTCGGATAGCCCGAGCTCCATCAATACAAAGCGCCGTGCATCACACTCATCCACTGGCAGGAGCGCAGAAACCGCGCATGAGATCTTCTTCACGTCCAAAGGCCCTTGCTCCCAGTTCCTGGGTTCTTGTCCGTCTAGGGTTTGGGGTTTAAGGTTTAAGGGTTTAGGGGTAGCTTACCGCGATAAGAATATCTGGTAAGCAGGCACGCTTCCTTTATCCTTGCAGCTTAAAGCAAGTTCCGCAACACATTCTCGTACAACGTTGCGACACCATATACTACACCCTCACAACAGCACTTTTGAACTTGCGATGGTATTTCCAGCGTGAAGCGGCTTACCTGCCTTGCTTTCGAAGGCAATTATTCTCTTAAAGGTTAAAGCAGCATATGACAGTGTTGTGATTCCAGAGTCTTTCATTTTCTTGTCTTCGCTTTTCGTCCACTCTGAACGCTGTCGTGTGGCTCCTTCCTTTGGTGTTCGGATTTGTGAAATTTCATCGTTTTCCATTCTTGCTTCGCTTTTAATCTCCCTAAAACGATGTCGTCAGCACAGACTGACGTGCCGGCCAGCGCCTATGCAACCCTTCGGCCGAAACCCTAAACCGGAAATCCTAAACCCTAAACCCACCCCCAAACCCCCGAGCCCTAAACCCCATAAATCCTACAAAATCCTAAACCCGTAGTTCCTGAACAAGAGCCCAGATTCACGAAGGAAGCCCAGGCCTTTCCTTTCGTGAGGCTTGGCATAAGCCTTACAAGGTTTAGGGCGTCGCGTTTCGGGCTTTAGGGTTTAGGGCGTCGGGGTTTTATGGCTTTAGTGTTTGCGGTTTCGGCTTTTAGGTTTCGGGTTAGTACCTAACCCCTTAGCCCAACCCCACCCCTCAACCCAAGCCCCAATCCCCAAACCGTAAGCCCCAAACCACAAACCCTAACTTACCTTACTAAGAAGCTGAAAGCCATCCACCCGCTCGCGCGTGAGGGGGCTCACGCTGCTCCCGGTCTCCTGGGCTCTTCTTGGAAACCCCGGAAACTCAGACCCATCTCGGGGACCTAAGAACCCGAAGCCCGGCATCCTTTCTTTCATATGGCTTCAGATAGGCATTTCTAAAAAGCCTCTCATGGATCGGATCAGAGTATCCTGGGCTCTTCTACTGGGATATAGGACACATGGCTTGGCCGGAAAGAGTTTTCTTAAGGTACATTCAATAAACCTGGTTATCATCCCCAGATCTTCCAGTTGCCCTTAACAATTGAGGCATTATACCTAAAACCGTAGTAGGGTTTAGGTTTAGGGGTCACTAATGTGAATTACGATGTATTGCTTAATACAAGGAGTTTGAAGGATCTGAGTCAACAAGAACGGCCCAGTTTCCGCTTGGAAGATCAACTTGCCCGTGCCGGCGTTCAGCACGCAGGAGCTGTGATACCTACGGAAGACCCTTAAACCCAAGATAACAAGAATGTGCTATCCCTCGTTGGTTTCACATTTAAAAGAGTTCAATGCAAATGGCGATTTAGAAGGAATATGAACAAAAAGGGAATCCCACGGAACATCCAGATGCAGGGCAGCTTCGACGCGTTTGCACTGGAAGGTGAGGGCGCCAACCTGATCTGGGTAATCGCTCAGTGCCTCGAAACAGATGGGGCAGGTCACCTTGGCTCGCTTTTTGAATCAAGACTCTATAGGGCTTGCAGGGTGGATCATAGCATGGAGTTTAGGGTTTCGGTTTGTGGCTCTTCGAAAAAGCTGAAGAGGGATTACTGTCACTATAGGAAGGTCTTATGGTTGGCCTCATCTTTCCCTTTGCAGATCCGTTTAGAAGAAAGCTAAAGGCAGGTTGCCTTCTCCACTGCCGCCTCCCTCGCCTGGTCCACCACAAGAGTGGCGGTCCTCTTCAGCTCCTGATGAGCCATCGTTATACTCTACAACAGTTCTTTGGCCGCGTGAGCACAACGAACGACAAGTGCACAGAGCAGTCGAGGATAGGCGAGGCGGCAGGCGACCGGATCTTTCAAAACGTGTCTTTGAGCCAAGGGTGGGCTTGCGCGCGAGGGTGAGGCTCTTCCGGCTGCGTCCCTTTGTTTTTGTGTTGAGGATTTAGGGTTTAATGCTGTTTAAAGTCGGGGCTCGGGGTTGGTTTACCCGGAACTAGACACCTCTCGTTGTTAGGGCTCTTTATGATGATTCCCTGACATGTTTCCTTAGTACGGGATTTAAGGCAAGAATCAGGACCCTGGTCAGTTTGAGTGTTGCGACAGCCCATGGCAAACACACGAGCACCGAAGCACCAGTCGTGCTGCTGGCATTGCTTTTTGGGGCATCTGTTCGAATAGTTGTGACAAGGAAAGATAAGGAAAGCTCAGAAATTCTGGATTAATTCTTCGGACTCCTATGTTGGGTTCTTAGGGGCAGTGTGCGGCAAAAAGCGTTCACAGATCCTGAGCCCTTCGGAGTGGAGGCCTCCAGCCATTCTCGGTCTACATGTACTGTACTGTGCTTTAAGGTTTAGGGTTTAGGGGTTTAGGGGTTTAGGGTTTGTAAGGTAGTCCTTGGTAGGGTTTAAGGTTTAGGGTTTTTAAGGGTAGTCCTTGGTAGGGTTTAGGGTTTAGGGTTTTAAGGGTAGTCCTTGGTAGGGTTTAAGTCAGTCCCGAATCACGGGGTAAGGTTTCGGGTTTAGGGGCGGGGTTTGGGGTTTAAGTACAATCCTTAATCAAGAGGGATCGGCCCTCTGGGTACACTCTCTCTAGGGCATCATAGGCCGGATCTGAGCAAAGGGGGTGGCTGCCTCAGAAAAGCCCCATGACAATCTTACTTTCGCAGAATGCCGGGAAATACAACGCAAAGTGGTCAGAATAATTCATGCACAGCAACCTCACAAAGTTGAAAACTGCAGAGTTGCAAACCTAAGCTACAAGCTTCTACAAACAAAAAACCCGACAACATCTCAGCACGAGCCCTTGCTCGACCTCTGTCTCGTGAACACGCGCCATAGGGTTCAAAAGAAAGCGAATGCACCTCAGGCTTAGGGCTCGGATAAAAACAAAAGCCTTAAGAATCAGAAGAGAGCTTGCAATCTGAGGCTTCTAGACGGCTGTAATAAAGTGGCCTTTATCATTACAAGACTGCTCAGAGTTTAGAGTGTCGAGTCGGTCTACGCGGGCTAAGGGAGGTGTTCGAGCAGCCCGAGGCCACACGGATGGTTTACGGATGATATGCCGAGTTTGCCGAGATCTAGGCTGCGTAATATAGAGGCCTTCGTAATTCATCCAGGGTTTTGTTGGGGTACCGTGTATTACACTATAACAATACTAGTCACGCCAAACCCTGCAGTATGTAAATCCCCTTTGCAACCGATTGCCAAGGGCCCGGTACTTCGCAATTCAGGGACCATTGCTTCACCGTAAACCAAAAAGCCCTAACAGTTCAGGGTTTCTTGTTCAGGGGCCTGCTTAGCTAGGACACGGTTTGGGTGGTAGTGTGGTTGACAGTAGCTAGCAATTTACCTGTAGCATACAGTTGCGCATACATAACTCTATAGATGTGTAAACATACATATATAGACACGTATATGTTGATATTGACTTATTTATGTCTGTATATATATATATATGTGTGTGTGTGTGTATACACATACACAAAGTTTTATAAGTATATGTATGTGTTTATTTATTTATGTACACACATATATATATATGTATGTATACCATATGAGTGTATATATATATATACACATGTGTGCGCAGTACACACACTCATTTGTCTACTTACTTGTTTAGGAACGAGCAACAGCCATGAGCTCCTAGAACGCTACCACAGCCCTGTCACTAGCCACCGACGACGGAATCCTGCAGACTGCAGACCCGATTCGAGGAAAGCTTGTTCCAAGCAACATTACTTCAGGAAATGTTGTTCTAGGCGTTCGTCAGATTTTGAAACTCTGTTCTTCTCTAGGCCCACACAGCATTTGACGAAAAGGTTCTTCTTTGCATGAAATTATGGGGCTCCCCTGGAAAGCAATAAGCCTTGAATCTTTCCCACGCCCTAAACCCCGACTACAACCTAAAACCTAAAATCGCACCCAATACTTACACTCTATACTCTACAGCCTCAAGTCTTAGCCATTCACATCCATCCATCCTTCCCTGACGCAAAACCCGATATCACGCTGACAACACCCTTATGAACCCCTGGAAAATCCTCATAAAACCCTTATACAGTCGCAACGAAAACCTTTACAGAGCCATGGTGCGGGGTGCGCGACGTCTCTGCGCTGGGGAAGCGTCCACGTGGGAGCTTCTTTGTCTTGCTGCCTTTTTGAACTAGTCGTGCTGCGATCCGAAACGTCGGACGGTGGCGACTTGTAGTATAAAGATAAGTCAGCGGAATCATCAAACTCAGGCCGCTATGCTTGGCTCAAGGGCCGGGATTTTGCACTCATGGAGGACTTGCTTGTTTTTTGCACCATAGAGAATCGCTTCTCACTCTTGGACTCCGGCGATCCAAGCGACCGACTACTTGGCTTCTAGGATTCTAGGGTTGAAGATTTAGGTTTTTGCTACTGACCAACTTAAGCCCCAGACCCTACACCCGAAAGACGGATCATGTTCTTTGGTGCTCAGCATTACCTTGTGATACCAGTCTAGCTTCTTTGCTTGAGCAGTACCTCAGGAATACCATTGCGAATTGTTCAAGCCACGATATGAAAAAGGGTGTCGGAGATTGCTAGGGTGCCTCAGGGTGTAAGCTTAAGAGTAGCTTTAGGGCGTCGGACGGCTTGTGCTAAATGGTCTAGGGAAGCTTGTGTCTTGCCACTTCTCCACGTGTCTAAATCGTTTCTCGAAGAGCAAAAAGTAAAAAGAAATTAGACCGCTAGAGGTTCCCCGCCACAAAAGCCCCCAACCCTAATTACTGCATATGCCAATGCTTCGTGCTCTCTTAAGGTGTTTCGAGGATGAGCAAAGAGTACTCCCCCAATGTATACTAAGGTCGTATGATCGGGCCTCCTGCGAGATATTACCATGACTGATACTGTTCGTGGCAACACTGACACTAACACTCATCACCTCGACTTGGTGACATTTGATAACACTCCTTGGAAAGTGACAACCTTGTCAACTAAATCACACGCACTTTTGATCCCCAAACAGTGTGGTATGCACACTGCGGGGCTCTTACGTTGAGGGTAACGAGACATGGTTGGTGTTCGGGCCGGGCCCGGAGGCGATGGCAGAATAGCTCCCGGTGTAGGGTGGTGCGTTGTTTGTCTCGATGCGTTTTCGGGGTGGACCGTCCTGGTCGCAGGGGTTGTCGTGGTGATCATGGTCGTCGTGGTCGTGGTCATGGTCAATCACTTTGGGCATTTAACGCTGGCATCAGAAATTCTGTAGAGAAAAAGTGCTACAGCCAATGCAAGAGCAGCCATGGCTGGGACGAAATGGCCCGGCCATGCTTTTGCCCAGCGATGTCCTTGGGCTTCCGGTGTGTGTTTCGATGTAGGGTTCAGGTGTATCTTTGTGTTTGGTTTCGCTTTTTTACTTAAGCCAAAGTCAAAACGATCCTACACAGTTTAGTCAATGGGCGGTCGAGGTGGTTTTTAATTTGTTAGTATTGTTGTGCTTGGAAGGATTCGCCAAACCCGAATCCCCAAACCCTATTCCTCGTTACAGTCTGTCTCTCGAAGTCTCAGATGGTTATGTAAGGGCTTCGGGTGTTTGGTGATGCTTGGGAGGGGCGATTAGGACTTAGGGCTTGCGGTTTAGGATAACGATTAGAGGCTCCATGTTGGCTTTCCTTTGCAGGTTTAAGGCTTCAGGGATACCGTGCTTTTAAAACCTTTGAGGCTTATCGTTTGGATTTGCAAACTTCAGGTTTCGAGCTTTCGGCCCATGATTTGGGCTCTGCCAGGTCCTCCCCAAAACTTTGACCCAACAGAATCACTGAACTACGACAAACCTGGCATTTCCCGAAAACCCCAAAGCTCAAAACCCTGAAGCAAACGGAATTCGTAAACTATATACTAGACATCCTAGTTCCGAGTACTTCATGGACATTCCTTCGCCAAGGTCATTTGGTATATCCATCTGAGTCCAAGCCCCAAATTACAAAGCCATCAACTCTACACTGCAAAACCTATGTAGGTAGTTTTCTAAATTTGGGTCCCTTTTTGGGTCCCCAAAATAGTAGGGCACCCCCATAAAATGGACCCTAAAGGGGACCCTAACTTAGAGAACTGCCCATGTGAAGACGACACCCCGGACCCCCCTGGAACCGGTTTAGGGTTTAGGGTTTAGGGGGCGTAAACAAGTAGAACTGAATTCCATAGGGTCCTTAGTCTAATGATATAGTTGTGGTCCCCGAAACCCCCGGGTCAGATCATTAGGGGGCATATCATTAGAACCTGCTGGACCATTATGAAGTTAGACTTTAAGGAATGCTCAAGGGTGCTAATGACAATCACAAATTATTTAGGCCCCAACCCTACACCCCTAAACCCCTAAACCCCAAACCCCAGGCCCTAAGCCCGAAACCCTCAAAGCCCCTTATTTCTGAAGAGAGGCGAGAGCGGCTCCGCCCATGAAGTCATTGGAGCCTTGCGAAACAACGAGGCTCTCATGCGCATTTTAAACTACATTTAAGGCCATTTTAGGGACCCTTAGAGGGATCCATAAGAGTTTCTATAGGGCTTCCATAAGGGTACTGGGCTCATGTTTCAGAAAGTTGGGTTTAGGGTCCTGGGCTTGTGGATTGCAAGGCTTTTGGGGTTTCAGCACTCACAACTGGGACAAGCCGGGCGAGGATTCGAGTACCACGACGCACATTGGCGAGAGCCAGCAGATTCACTAGCCACAACCTAACTAACTCCTACAAATTCATCCGCGTCAAGAACAGGGTTTCGGGTTGATGATTTAGGATT